AGCACTACTTTTTCTGCATCCCAACACATTTTTTTTTTTTAGCGGTACACGGGCCTCTCACTATTGTGGCGTCTTCCGTTGTGGAGCACAGGCTCAGCGGCCATGGCTCACGGGCCCAGCCACTCCGCGGCATGTGGGATCTTCCCAGAACGGGGCACGAACCCGTGTCCCCTGCATCAGCAGGCAGACTGTCAACCACTGTGCCACCAGGGAAGCCCCCAACACATTTTGAGAAGTTGGATTTTAATTTTCATTTTGTTTGAAATATTTTAAAATTTCTCTTGAGATTTCTTCTTTAACCCACGTGTTATTTAGAAGTGTGTTGTGTCATCTCCATGTATTTTGGGCTTTTCTCAAATACAGTATCTTTCCCAGATGTCTTTCTGTCATTGATTTCTAGTTTAATCCCACTGTGGTCTAAGAGCAGACATTGAATGATTTCTATCCTTTTAAATTTGTTAAGGTGTATTTTATGGCCCAGAATATCGTCTATCTTGGTGAATGTTCCATATGAACTTGAGAAGAATGTGTATTTTGTTGTTGGATGAAGTAATCTTTAGATGTTAATTATACCCAGCTGATTGATGATGTTGCTGAGTTCTGCTCTGTCTGAAATTAATATAGCTACTCTTGCTTTCTTTTGATTAGTTAGTGTGGTATACTTTTCTCTGTCTATTTACTTTTAATCTATAATTGTGTTTATATTAAAAGTGGTTTTCTTGTAGACAGCATATAATTGGATCTTGTTTTTAGATCCACTCTGACAACGTCTATCTTTTTTTTTAAACGTGTACTTTAAAATTTTTTTTTATTATTATTTATCTTATTTATTTATTTTTGGCTGCGTTAGGTCTTTGTTGCTGTGCGCAGGCTTTTTCTAGTTGTGGTGAGCAGGGGCTACTCTTCGTTGCAGTGCATGGGCTTCTCATTGCGGTGGCTTCTCTTGTTGCAGAGCACGGGCTCCAGGTGCCCAGGCTTCAGGAGCTGTGGCTTGCGGGCTCTGGAGCGCAGGCTCAGTAGTTGCGGCTCATGTGCTTAGTTGCTCCGCGGCATGTGGGATCTTTGCGGACCGGGGTTCGAACCCATGTCCCCTGCACTGGCAGGCGGATTCTTAACCACTGTGCCATTAGGGAAGCGCAACGTCTTATCTTTTGATTGGTGCATTGAGGCATTCAAAGTGATTATTGATGTAGTTGGATTAATATCTGCTATGTTCATTATTATTCTCTCATTGTTGCCCTTGTTCTTTGTTCCTATTTTTGTCTGATTCTGCTATTCGTTAATTCTGCTGGCTTTCCTTTATGGTGCTTGATTTCCTATATGTTTGGTGATTTTTGAGTATGAGTTCATGTTTCTTTGAAGTTTAGCCTGTATTTCCTTAAGGCCTTGGTCTAAGACTGGTGTCCCTCAGAAAAGAAGTTGTTTCTGCCAGTGCCTGTACTTACTACTGATCTTGGACCACTTCAGAATAAGCTCATGACCTAAAATTCTTTAGGCATTCCAGCTAGTATAGCATTGATTTGTAAAATTCACTGATAAACTATTCTTATTTATGAATTCTTAAGTGAGTTAATTTTTTTTCCTCTGCCAGCACCAAATTTCAATTCAGGAAATTTTTCTTTTTATCATTAGCAGAAAAGGTGTAGGTGGTGGTGGAAGTTGGAAGGGTAGGGTGAGGGTGGGAAAGTAGGGGATTGTAGGAGATAACATTCACTTACATTCAAATCAAGAATATGGCACCATGTCCTCTCTAGCTTATGTAGAAAAATCATCTGTAAGAGTTCCATATTGGCTTGGCTCTAGGGTTTACTTCATGTTTCCCATGGTTTGTGAAATTTTGGAAACTATAGCTCAAGATTACCTGGGTTTGACAAATATCTTCAAGGTAAAACCAAGCTTTTGCCTAAATAATCCTTACCTCTTTATAGCATACCCACAAATTCAACTGATGCTGTGTACATTGTATCCAGCATTTTTAGTTATTTTCAGGGCAAGTTATGTTAGAGTATCTAGGCTGCCCAACTGCCAGAAAATTAGTTCTCCTCATCTACTTTTTGTTGTCCTTCTATTTCTTTCACTGTTATAAGCGTATTCTTTATTGTTGTTGTTGTTTTACTATCATTTTAAGTGGGGTGCCACAGGAAAGGAAAGCAAATATGTGTGCTCAAATTCCTTAAGCTACAAATTATTAAAAAGTCAAATTTTAATTAGAAACTGTTATTTTTTTAAAAGAGAAGACAGCAAGAAACTTTTAAAAGTAAGTATGATTATTTTTTATTGTTTTGAAAGTGCAGTTTTTAAGTGAATTAGTGAAAAAGGGTTTTATATTGGACTGGATATATGAATGTTTAGAATACCACAGTTAACATTATGCTAATGTGATTAGATATATGTATACAATTAGACACTTAATTTGTTCTTTCAATAAGTTCAAACATCTTTTTCAAGCACGTACTATATACCATATACTCAATGAAAACATTCACAGGAAGTATATTACTTAATTCATGAATAAGAATATTTTCTTTCTTTTTGAAATGTATTTAAAGACTAAGGACACTTTTCTATTTTTTAATATTATGCATAATTAATATTTGAGGCTAGCTATATAAATGTAGATTTTTTAAATGTATTAAGTAAAAATATCTGGATGTAATATGAAATTTTTTATTTTGCTATTCTTTTAAGAGCACTGGTGTGACACAGATTTCCAGCTTCAGGTTAGAACACATGTATTAACATTTCATGAAGAAAGGGAAATTTGGATTATATTTATAAAATGGCAAATGGTAAAATAAATATACACTAGATAAGAATATTTCTCTGTGGTTTGGCCCACATAGACACATTCCCTGGATAGCTGACAGCTACTCTCTTGGGAAATGTGAACATTAAAAAAATTGTGTGTGTGTGTGTGTGTGTGTGTGTGGTGGTTTTTTGTTTTTTGTTTTCTTTTGTACTATCAGCTCTAAAATAGGATTGCCTACAGCTATAGCTATAGCAGCTGTCAGACTTCGTAGCCCTTTAGGAAACACGACTAGATAGAGAAACTAGAAGGTATTTATTTTAGACTGATGTAAATCTGAGTCTGGCAAACATTTACTCAGATTCTATGGATTGGAGTACCATGATTCCTGTCAGTTCCATGGATCTCCTGTAGTTAGATTTGCATCATTGATCAAGTGGATATGTATACTGTTAAAAAGACAAGGAAGAAGTAAATCTTCAACAAGGTATTTCTTTATTAAATTAGTACCAAAATAGCTCTGGCCTGACTCAAGACTAAAATTCAATAGACTGGATCCTTACTATCAAAATTTAAAGGTATTTCAAGTTATGATAAATGTTCAAATTACAGCTGGCTACTCTTGGAGCATCTATTATCATATGTCCTAGTTAGGCTGTCCTGATGATAGGAATAAAGTTCTTGTGGAAAATATGTCCTAAACAATATGATAGCAGTACATATTCATAAATAGAAATAAATGTTCATGTTCATTCAGTTTGGGTGGTGGTGGTATTGTTTGTCAAATCATCAACTCAGAGCTAAGATTTTTGCAGTGGAGATTTAGCGGTTCTACCACAGCAAGTTCTTTCCCTGGAATGACATTGTAAAGACAGTATAGAATCTTGCCAAGGTTTCTTGGTTATTTCTCGTAGAAACACTATGTAAATTTGCTGAGTTAAGAAAAGTAATTTGTAATGTGCTCCAGTTCATTATTATTCTTTTATTAAAATGGGTATCAGGTTATCAGGCATACCTTCTTAGCAGTGAATTTGGGTGGGCAATTTGAAAATGTGATATATTTGTATGACCGCACTAAAGCACTAACCATCTTGTAGAATAATATAATTTCTTTAGTAAAAGTAATAAATAATTTATAATTTCTTCATTAAAAGTACAAATGAACATTAGCTGTAGCTGCCCATCTCCTACCATATTAATGGATTTTGGTGGCTTTATTTTCACATGGAATTACACCCATAAGTGCAGCCACTTCAAGACACAAATCAAGGAAGGTGGAGTCCTACTGTTACAAAAAAATTATTAGCATAAAAGAGCATGTCTTTTTATTTTACTCTAAACTAATGTTCAAAATAATCTCTTCATATTTAGAAAGAGGATGTCACATAGTATTAGAAGACACTACATTGCAATTAATAGAATACAAAAATTATTAATGGATTCAAATTTAAGAATGATCTACATTTTTGTCTATGTTATAGCAAGCTCAAGGTTATCCTTATAATAATATCACCCTTATTTATTTTTATTTCTATATAATTTCTTAAGAGTAGGAGGAAGTTTGAATTGAGTTAAACCAGATATACAGTGGATTGTATTTAATCTTAGCTATGCCCACAGGAATGTTTTGTTCTAAATTTTCTCATACAATTTTATATTCTCACTGTTGCAGCCCTTATTATGTTTAATTTTTATTTTTACTTTTGTACATTTCCATCAACGGTAAGCTTCATCAAGGCAAGACCATACTTGTCTGGTTCATATTCTGTCCCCAGTACTTACCACAGTGTCTATCAAAATAAGCTCTCAGTAGGTACTTATTGAATGGATCATTGAATCAGCAAATTACTTCCTTTTTTTTTAAATTACCATCTTAACCATTTAATTTATTTTTTTAAATGGCAATTATTTATTTATTTATTTGGCCACACCACACGGTATGTGGGATCTTAGTTCCCCAATCAGGGATCGAACTCCCCGCCCCCTGCATTAGAAGTCCCGTTGGACCTCCAAGGAAGTCCCGGCAAATTACTTCCTAATGTGAGAGAAGTTTTAACATTTTTTTCTCTAATAAATAAACTCAGAATATCTCTCCAACAAAGATGGCTAAGAAAAAACAAAAATAATCAAGATAAAATATAGGTATACATGATTTTTAAGCTTCCAGCTACTCATACCCTCACCTACAAAGTTTGGTTTCATTTATTTAGGCTCTGGGTGTGCTTATTCAACCTTATTTTTGTGTTTACGCTAGGCTGATTCTCATGGCTACAGACAGAGCTAAAATTAAGTGGGAATTGGAAGAACAGAGGAGAAAAACTGGATTTTTGCCACCAATCTTCATCCTTCCCTAACCCTGAAGACCATTTTTCAAGACTGTGGCAATATAGGTCTCCTTAGAAATAACTGATGAGATAGAGGAACAAAGAATACAAGCCAAATGTCCTGTAAATCTCGGAGCAGAAGCTCTCTGACCCAAGCAGACATTGTTATGACATCCTGTACGAGGATTCATAAAATTCCCAAAGGTAACCACATATTTCAGGCCAAGGATACCTCTGGAAACATTTGTCATTTGTTCAGCTTTTAAGAATGGCTTTGTGTTAGATTTGCATGAATGGCATTGAATATTATAGTTTTGGTAAATGACCTAATTGTCGAGAGTAACATAATGTAAATGGTTTGTTTCAAAATAACATTTTTCTGTACCTTAGTAGCTTCTTAAACCTTCAGCAATGTTAATAATTCGATTTGGAGACATGTCTGACTGGGAGAGAATTCTATCTCCCATGAGTCACTTCAGTCACCTTCCTAGTTGATGGGGCAAAAGTACCCATTTCAAAAGTGAGTGTAGAAGCACAGCAGAGTGAATGAAGAGCTGGACGAGGAAGCTGAAGACTGGATGCTAAGTCTTGGCTCTGTCACTTAGCATATATGTGATACTGGCTGAGTTATAAGTAGCTGTTCTGATCCTCAGTGTCAGAACTTGTATTTATGATTCTCCCTACCTGACCTGCCTCCTCAGGAATAAGATCATGAACATGAAATCTCATTATACTCCAAGATGCCAAACACGTTTGAGATGTTACACTCAAGTATCTAGGTAAAGGTCAAAGAACTCGAGAATGATGTCATTCAGAAACAGGATTTGGAAGGATAATGGCTATGAAAATAACAAGATGAGAGAATGGTGATTGGAAGGGAAGAAGAAGCACTTACAATATTAGCAGAATCAGAAGTCCTAAAGTGAAAATCTGCAACTAGGAGGAAAGAAAGACGAGAATGCTGGAACCACTTGTGACTTTTGTTCCTTTGGCTAAGAACTACAGTGTGTTTTTTAAGTGAAGTCTGCCGTTGCTTAAGACTGTCAATGAATGAGCCCGGGAAGAGCTATCCTAAAAAGGCTTTATTGGCTGACTGTTCTGGAATGGTGATCAATTAAAAATATTTTTACCTGTGCCCTTGACTAAGACAGTTTTGCTGAGCCTAGATGTTGTAGCCAAGAAGAAAAAGCAGGGCTTCCCTGGTGGCGCAGTGGTTGAGAGTCCGCCTGCCGACGCAGGGGACGCGGGTTCGTGCCCCGGTCCGGGAGGGTCCCACATGCCGTGGAGCGGCTGGGCCCGTGAGCCATGGCCGCAACGGGAGAGGCCACAACAGGGAGAGGCCCACGTACCGCAAAAAAAAAAAAAAAAAAAAGGAAAAAAAGAAAAGGCAAACCATCTGAAGCATCTCAGGTACTTGGTCATCATGGGGAACTTGTTTTTTTCACATGGACGATGACACCTTCAAAGAAACAATGCCAAGTAACTGAATTGAGCTAAGACTTCTTAAGTGAAATAATACAATTTTAAGGGGGAAACTGCAGAAAAAAGCATAGGTTTTTAATAAGCTCTTTTAACTAGGAAAGCATGGGGAAATCTCTTAAAACCTCACTTTCTTTAAAAAAGAACAATAACAACATTTTGACCACATGCTTTTAACTTTATAATATTGAAGATTACATAAGCTTAATCTTAGGCAATGCTGTAACCTCAATTTTTAAGGAATTCAGATGATCGCCTTCTTTTTCCTCTATTTTTAAAAATTTTTCTTTGAAAGGAGAAAGGAAAGAGGAATTATTAAAAGCAAAGAATGGCTTCCATTTATCTCTTATCCAGAAGACATGAATAAAACAAACTTACCTGGTAGGTACCCAGGTAAGTGTTTCTGTGGTATATTTTTTTAAGTGTTTTCCATGTTACACCTACCAGTACTCTTAGAATTATGCTCTAGACATTACTTGGGTTCCAAAAAGGTGGTTAATATCCCCAAAGAATCCCTCATATTCTTCCTTTGTAATTTCCACTCCTCTGCTAGTGAAGCTATTTGGAGAGGTCTCAGTGAATCAGTGAATAACCATTGCCACCTTCATCTCTTTTTGGCTGCCCACAAAATTGAAAACTCTGTGAAACTCACACCAGATAGTTAGGTCTTACCCATTTTGTGGCTTGATTACTTGTTCTGATTAATAAAAAAAAAAAAAATTAAGTAGTTTAAAGGTTTTTTTGAGGGGGATTTTCTTTATCTCTGAAGTAGTCACCTGATAAAACAAGAATAATCCTCAGAGTAAACATATTTATTACGGTTTCATTAGAATTGTGTTCCTTGAAATGTGCAGTAATGCTCTCATGGTCAGATGTTTATTTCAGTGACAAAAATGAAGAATGTTGGTGTATTAATCTGCATTGTAAAGTGTGACAAGTTCAGGTCAAGCTAACTGGAAACTTGGAAACCAAGGGAGTGTCTACTGCAAGAAGAGATTTTTATATCAGTTAAGCATTGCATTTGGCTACCAGTGGCAGGCTGCTGACTTGTGTGATTTAAATATCTATGCATATTTGTCAATCAATAAAAAGTATAGAGAGAGATAGGCAGTTACTGATAGCTGTTCAATAGCACAAGAGTGTCAGGGATTCTGGGATGAATTTCTTAGCCTTCCACTCATGGTCCCCAAGTGACTGCTGGACCTCAACACCTTACCACCAGTTTTTGAGGAAGAAGAATAGAAGGGGCACTTGTCAGCTTAATAAACTTTTCCAGAGGTCTCATCCAGCTGTTTATCACATCTTGCTTATAAGATGTGCGTGCATCTTAGCATCCTTTGAGCAAGTGAGGCTGAGAAATATATTTTTAGCTGGGTACTTGCCTTCCGCTATCCTCTCTCACAAAGGAAGGAATAAAAACGTGGAGGTTATGCGGGTAGTGAGGAGTTACTGCTACATATATGTTACATTTCAGTGCCATCTCAGACTCCTCTTTGGAGTTAAGTCACCCAAAGTGAAAGAGAAGAGATGCAACTTCATCCACTGACCACCCTTGTTATAGGAACCTGAGTTTCATCTCTCATTGGAGCAATAATTAAACCATACTCTCCCAGAGAGGTAGGGACACGGTTGTACTGGGAAGCTCCAGTATAGGATACACCCCTGGCATTCAGTATTTGAGGTTTCCATTGTTCAAGACCAAACTTGAAGGTCCATGGCATATAATAAATAACTTTAAATTTTTATGTCATATCAATTTTAGTCCCCTTCACACCAAGAGGCATAAAATTTTCTGACAGTAGGAGATGTATTCATTTTCTGGGGCTACCATATCAAGGTACCACATACTAGGTGACTTAAACAATAGAAATTTATTGTCTCACAGATCTGGAGGCTATATCCAAGGTCAAGGTATTGACAGGATTGGCTGTAAGAGACAATCCTTTCCATGCCTCTCCTAGATTCTGGTGGTTTTCTGGCAATCTTTAGTGTTCCTTGGCTTATAGATGCCTCACCCTGATCTCAGCCTTCATCTGTACATGCATGGTGTTCTGCCTTTATCTATGTGAAGATAAAGGTTCGTAAAACCTCTTCACATAGTGTCTGACTCTGTGCACATTTTTTTTATGAGGACACCATTCATATTGGATTAGGGCCCTAATGACTTCACCTTAATTTGAGCACATCTGCAAAGACCCTATTTCCAAATAACCTTCTGAGGTACTAGGAGTTAGGACCTCAACATATATTTTGAGGGAACATAATTCAACCAATAACAGTTGGTGTTCAAATCAGAAAATGAACCTGCAACATACACATGGCAGCAATCTTTTTTCTCTCCCTCCATTTTTATGCAGAAATTATACACTATAGGGATATTTAAGAATTTTAAGGGCCTACTCATTAGCATACATTGGAAATACTGCTTTTAGTATATTATCATGAAAATAAACGATGAATCTAGATTACAGTTGAGTTGCTCTTGAATCTAAAGATATAGATTTACTTCACATTATGACTGTTCAATTGACCAGTTTCACCATAACAGCTCACTTTTCTCAAAATAACACTTTTTTGAAATAACTGTTTCATCCCAAAATGTACTGAAAACTATAAACAATATATTTCCAGGAAAAGTCACAATTGCCAATTACTTAACACAATAATTTCTAATAAGAATATCATTTGCAACAAATTCAAATCGAGCATCATGTCTGGATGAAACAAAACATTTTTGCTGTGCATTAGGATGCCAGGTGAGAAGACAGATGTTGCATCTTCTGAATCTATAGTCTCTTTTGTACATGTTTCCACGTGTGTCCACGTGTTCCACTGCTCTCAGGTTTAGCCTTTATTTCGTCACAGTCTTAAAGAAATTCTTTTCCAGTGGGTTGAACTGTGTCTCCCAAAAAGATAAGGTCAAATCTTGAACTCTGGTACCTGTGAATAGGAGCTTATTTGGAAATAGGGTTTTGTAGATGTACTCAAGTCATGATAAGATCATAATGGAGGGTGAGTGCTCATCAAACAACTTATGTCTTCATGAGAACACGGATATTTGGACACAGGGACACAGAGGGAGAACACCATGTGAAGACAGAGGCAGAGATTAAAATGATGCATCTACAAGCCAAGGAATGCCAAGGATTGCCTGCAATCTCCAAAAGCTAAGAGAGAGGCATGGAACAGATTCTCCCTTGGAGACTCCGGAAGGCTTGCCAAGGCTTTTGGACTTGATTTTGGACCTTTGGCTTTCAGAACTATGAGAGAACAAATGTCTGTTGTTCCAAGCCACCCAACTTGTGATCATTTGTTATGGCAGCCCTAGGAAACTAATATATCCAGCAGATCCAATTTTCAAATTCCTGTCTGAAGATAAGCACCAACTGTGACTGCCATCCCTTATTCAGTCTCTTCCTTCCTCGGTGAGTAAAATAAACTTCATTACAATTTATGTTCAGACTTTTATTTTCAAACTCTTGTTTGTATTTATTCATACTATTTATTTATATAAACTTGTTTTCATTGTTCACTTGATCTATATATATTCCAGTCTATAGAATATTTTTGAGTATTTTGGATTGGAATAATATACCTCGTAATTTCCCTTTAAAATTAATGAATTTTGCTTTCAATTTACGACCTTTCACTTTAGGGCAAGGTTTTAGGAACAAAATTAAAATCGTTAAATGAGACAGCGCTTACTATAATTCCGATGGTCACAACCTGAGTAAAGAAAAAAAGGTGTTTCTAGCAAGAATAAGGTAAGTGGGTGTGTTGGTTTCCTGGGAAAATAATAATGTATTCTTGGAAGCACTTCTAGTTATTCATGTAATTTAAAAAGTACACCTATAAAGGGAGAAAAAGCATGTGAATTTGTCAGGGAAAGAAAAGAAGAGCAAAGCAGGAAATGAGGAAGAAGGGAGTTATGGAAAAGCAGCAGTTGGGAGGAGCACAGTGAGAATTGAGGAAAGTTTGTTTTTACCATCATTCTTGCTCTCTGACAACTTACTTAGTTTTCAGCTCTGTTTATCAGATTGTGCAATTTATCATATTAATTTTTTATACTTTCATATTTAATTGATAATTTATTATTTAAAAATAATTCCTAATCCCCTCACATCCTTTAAGTGTTCAAATATCACTTTGTCAGACAGTATACTGACTAAGATTCTGTGACCTGACACCCCTCGCCAATCCCTGTACTTTGGAGCTCCCTTACCGTGTTCCACTTGTTCATCTTTTCATTGCACTTGTCACCTTCTGGGAAGAATTGTAATTTACTTATTTGTTATTTTTGTTTCAATCTGATTTTGCCACTCCCTCCCCTTCCAAGCTCCCCCCCCCGGAATAGAAGCTCCTTGAACTCATGTAACTTATGAGACTGTGTTTTACTCATTCACCTTATATATATCTATGATAGTTGCATACTGGGCTGGGTGTTTGGTGGCTTGTGTGTTCTCATTTTATCACTTGACATGGAAGTATGTGTGTTTAAAGATGAGTTGTTGCTTGAGCTGATGCCTGCCTCCTGAAATGTCTCTATAACATAGCTTAGTAAGATATTAACAAATCCCAATGAAACACATCTGCTCTACTGTTGTCTCCAGCTCCTGGTCTCTTCAAACTTTTAAAACTGTCATAGATTACTGGAAACACAACTGCATTTGAAATTATGTCAATACAACAGTAGTTGCAGATGCTCCATTAAGGGTTTAAAAACTAAATTGTCAGCCAAAGAAAATGGCATGTAAATGTTTGGCCATCACTCCAGTCCTGCAGAAGTAAGTTTTGTGGCAATGAGGGAAGTGGGGCTCCCTGCTCACTGACACATAAATGACTAAACTGGAGAGATTTCTTAGGGTGTCTGCTAACCAGTGGTGTGGATATGTAACTGGATGCTGGTATTGCAGTGCAGTTGTAGTGTAAATCCAGGAGGTGATGAAAGACAGTCTATGGTAATAGAACTGGAGGAACTTGGGGGATTGGATCAACTAGGTACAGTCTTGCTGCTCCCTCTTTTTCATTTGTATAAGCATTTTTTCTACAATCTAGAAAGTGCAGTGCAGTGCTTTCCAATTTAATTGATGGCCCGGTCTGGCATAAGTGATTCCACATGGTGGTTGACAAATGACTCTTGGGTTAGCCCCCCACCCCTCTTATTCAAGAAATAGACAAATTAGCAGAATTTTCTCTTTTCTCTATAGAACTATCACTTGCGCATCTATTTATCTATCTTAGATGAAATTTTAAATATTTTATAAACTGATGAGACCTCTTGTTCTTGGTTTCGGCAGAAAGTGGAATATCATAAATAAAATTGTCTTACGTTCTCAGTCATCGGGTTGATGGACGGTTAAAGGAAAAGCAGCATCCTGGGTTTTTCAGAGGCATTGCTATGCTTAGATCAGATTATATGGTGACTTGTAGTGTAACCATACTAGTATCTCTTTACACAAGAAAAATTTCTTCTAAATAACAATATCAATTTTGGACTGCTCAAGGGATTTAGTAGAAAGGCTTAGAACATGGCAGTGGTAATAGATACTCAGAAGGTCAAAAATTCTCAGCTAGAGAATGGTTCAATATGCTCATTTATCACTTTCCACTTTGGCTCATATAAAACAAAGACATACAACTAGGTGTAAGTTCAAGTACTGTACCAGCACAATCAGGCTTTAAAAAAAGTAAAGCAAATCCCAATTTACTACTGTCAGTTCACAGAATTCACTCTGATATAATCTTCATGTTGTAGATATTTCTGATTGTGTTGTTCCCAAAACTCATGGGCAGAAATAAACTGAATGACAAACGATGTGACTCTTCCACATATATAACACATGTCATCTAAAAATTGTAATGCACATATAATTACCTAGTTAATAACTTTCTAGAAAAATACTGATGAAAATAATCTGAATTTACCAAGAATCAGACAGAGACAATTGAGAGAAAACAAAGTGAAAGCTTTCTTTAATCTATTGGTTAGGCTAGATTGGACAGATGGCTTTTACAACATTCTTGGGAAAATTCACAATTTAGGATTCATAAGCTGTGATCCTCAGATGAGGACAGTGGATACTCATGCACATTACTGAAGCCAAGTGGTAGGATGATACACTGCATCCAAGCTGTTTCCATGAGTGAATAGGCTCTAGCCTCTCTGGCTTGTTTTCTCGGTGCTGGAGAAGACATCACACATTCTTTGGAAGTATAGTCCAACCCAAAACTTCACTAGATCTCCTGTCCTGCCTCTGTGTGGTCTGGGTGACCCACTTTAGCTTGAAGGAGCTCTGGGAAATTCGATATGTCTACAACCAGTTTAAGGGCTACTCCTGGGTGGTCCTTAGCAGTTAATAGGGTTTGATTCCGGGGCCATTATATGAGATTCAGAGAAGCCCAAGAATCTGGGCCTGGACAAGATCCAGTCTGTTAAGAATGGTGATTACTCCTGAGCGTTTCAATATATAAACTGGAAGGACTAGAGCAGTTCTGGGAGAATGTACAGATAACATCAAACACACCTCACCAACTCTGCAGCCATCTTGGTTACCATCTAACAAGGTCCAACTCAAGGCACCATGTTTTCAGATTGAGCAATAACTAGGCATTAAGACAGGTGTCCAGAACTTTCCAGGAATGGCCTTATGACTAGAAAGACCCAAAGGCATTTGCTTTAATCTACTTAGATTCAGTGATTTCTCTAAATGATATCAATTCTTAATTATATGCACATTAATAAAAGAACTGAGATGTGGCAAATCTAAAACTCATTTATATTTTATTATAAAAAATAGTGGGTAGGGCTTCCCTGGTGGCGCAGTGGTTGAGAGTCCGCCTGCCGATGCAGGGGACATGGGTTCGTGCCCCGGTCCGGGAAGATCCCACATGCCGCGGAGCAGCTGGGCCCGTGAGCCATGGCCGCTGAGCCTGTGTGTCCGGAGCCTGTGGTCTGCAATGGGAGAGGCCACAACAGTGAGAGGCCCACACACCACAAAAAAAAAAAAATAGTGGGTAGTGGAAAGAGCATGTGCTTTAGAGACAGCCAGTCCTGAGTTCGAATTCTCACTCCCCATTTACTGGCAGAGAGACTGGCTGAGAGACTTGGGGCGTTATCCCAAGAGGTAATACGTGCAGAAAATATCAAGGATTATTCAAAAAATGTTCAGATATGTTTGTATGTGTCAATCTTGTAAGAAAAGTAACAATGTTTCAACTGTAAAAACCTACTTGCAATTGCAAAATGCCTCTTTTATCTGTCTCCATAGCAATCATTAGCATCTAACATAATGTATATTTTACATATTTACCTCACTTGCTCCCTGTCTCCCATCCCCACTTTCCCCCCAAAAGTAAGAGTTCACGGTTGCAGGAATTTACTGTCTGCTTTGCTCACCATTGCATCCTCAGGAACTGCAGTAGAAACTGATACATAGTGTCGGGTGGAGTTTCCTGATTGTGGCAGGATTGGCCAAGGCCTGATGGGTCCTCTCTGCAGTGGTTGGGAGTCAGTCTTCCAGGCCCACTTGGAGCCTCCTCTGCTGCCTTGCCCAGATTGGTAGGCACCAGTTAAGTGAGTTAATCGTTTTTCTACTTAAAATTGCTTAAGTTCGTTCATTTTTCTGAGTCTGAACCGTTGTTATAATTTAGTAAAGGAATTATTTAGAAATAGCTGTTCTGTGAATTCACACTATAAAGGCAGAGGGTGGGGCTTATTTTGTTCTTCACTTCAGATCTAAAGAGAGGGCTTTAAGAGAACACTGAAAATCTAGTTCAGTCCATGGCAGACTGGGGGAGACACCGGAGCCTAGTGTCTGACTTCGGCTGTTAAGTATAAAGGTCACAAATGAGTGACTAGCCAGCAGCTGGTAGATAAGCAAGGAGGGGGGAAGCAGGGACTAACTCTTGTGCTTAGAAGTTCTCAAAGTAAAGACACCTGAGCCATCCGACCCACACCATATACGGGCCGTGCGTGAGAAAGAACCTGCATGAGATCATCTCAGTTTCTGCAGGCTCCTCTCTGAAGGAGAGGATGTGATCTCAAGGGAGAGATACTGAAGAGGCCCAGACCCTGAAGGATTCTCAATGAATACAAAAGGAGTAATCAACCAACCTCTTCCCTAGAGATGGAGGTTTCTGAAGAACCTAAGAAATACTCTCAGAGTCAGCTTTATGTCTGCAGGCCTCAGGAATTACCACGCCAGCTCAGAACAATGTCAGTCAAACAAGAATTTTCTTGTTCTCTTTGCTTCCTTCTTCTCCTGATTGCTGCCAACAAACAGTTGCCCTCACCTGTTTACTAAATACAGTTTGTGCCCCATCTCTCCTCTCTTCCCCTGATAGGCCCTCAACGGGGGACTGAGTTTTGATCACTGAATAGGAGTAGACCTTCTGATTGAGCTACATTTGAAGACTCAAGGTAACAAAAGAATTTCTTATTATTCATAGTGACAAATGTTTTATAATAGCATACAATTATAGCTATTCAGACTTCAGAGATCACATTTTCTTCAACTACTGAACTATACTGAAAGTCAAGTGAGATTTGAAGATCAAGAAAAAGAAGCCTGATTAAGGGACTAGAAAGGGGCAAAATTTGCAAGAATGGGAATGAGATATGAGACATAACTAGAGGTGTGATTAAAATAGTAATAAAATAATAAAGTATGTCTGCAGACAATTCTATGACAACAAATCTGAAAAACGTAGACACAAGTGACATAGATGCTTTTCTAACATAATTTAAATATCTAAAATTATCCCAAGAGAAGGTAAAAAAAAGGTCAATAATCAAAAAGTGATTGAGAAGGTTAAAAATCTGCCATTAATGAAAGCCACTAAGGCCACAGATTTTCCCAGCTGGATTGTATCAAGTCTTTATAAAAAATAGATAATTCCTATGTTATTTAAGCTACTACTCCCCTGGAAAAAATTCTTAATATAAAACCTTATGAAGTTATCATAAAAAACAAAAATGCAACTCAAACTCCTATGTAAATACACAAAGATCTTTGTAAAAAAAAGAGATAGTTGTAATATCCAGAAACCTATCAGTATAATGACGTACATCAATCTATTAAAAAAAATCATATGGTAATATCAATACATTCTGAAAAAATTATATGAATTAAGACTACACTGAGGTTTCACTTCACACCGGTTAGAATGGGCATCATCAGAAAATCTACAAACAACAAATGCTGGAGAGGGTGTGGAGAAAAGGGAACCCTCTTGCACTGTTGGTGGGAATGTAAACTGATACTATGGAGAACAGTATGGAGGTTCCTTAAAAAACTAAAAACAGAATTACCATATGACCCAGCAATCCCACTACTGGGCATATACTCAGAGAAAACCATAATTCAAAAAGACACATGCACCCCAATGTTTATTGTGGCACTATTTACAATAGCCAGGTCATGGAAGCAACCTAAGTGTCCATCGACAGATGAATGGATAAAGAAGATGTGGCACATAGATAAAATGGAAAATTACTCAGCCATAAAAAGAAACGAAATTGAGTAATTTGTAGTGAGGTGAATGGACCTAGAGACTGTCATACAGAGTGAAGTAAGTCAGAAAGAGAAAAACAAATACCATATGCTAACACATATATATGGAATCTAAAAAAAAAAAAAGGTTCTAAAGAACCTAGGGGCAGGACAGGAATAAAGACGTAGACGTAGAGAATGGACTTGAGGACACGGTGAGGGGGAAGGGTAAGCTGGGATGAAGTGAGAGAGTGGCACTTACATATGTACACTACTAAATGTCAAATAGATAGCTAGTGGGAAGCAGCCGCAGAGCACAGGGAGGTCAGCTCGGTGCTTTGTGACCACCTAGAGGGGTGGGATAGGGAGGGTGGGGGAGAGACGCAAGAGGGAGGGGATATGGGGATATACGTATACGCATAGCTGATTCACTTTGTTATACAGCAGAAACTAACACAACAATGTAAAGCAATTATACTCCAATAAAGATATATATTTTTAAATTTATGAATTAAAAGAATAAAATATGACAATAATCAACCTCAAATTAAACTAATTATCATTAAGTTAGAAAATTCTCATTGCAATTAATATGAAAAATTAGATGTAAATTTCTACTGCTGCCATTGCTTTGGAATGGTAAGTTAAAAAAAATTTAGTAAAAACATTAGAAAATAGAATTTTTTTCCCTAATGACAGTATTATATGTCTAGAAACCCTAAGATTCTAATTAAAATCAGAATCAATGAAAAATAATGGATAAGAGAATTTAAGATAAAAACAAGATAAATATGTTAAGACCAAGAGCTTTTGTCTATGTTGTCTATAAGCAAATGGCGATGAAAATGGAAAGATAGCTGTTCATAGTAAACAGCATAATATTCTCACAGATGACTTTTAAAAAGAAAACACAGGACCTATGTTTAAAAAAAAATCTGTGAATCTTACTCATAGACTATTAAAGGACATAAAACAATCTTTGAACTATGGAAAAACCGTGTGATTTTGGATGGGAGGAATTAATACAGTAAAAATGTCAATTCTTCAAAATTCTCCTATAAATTTGAGGCGCTAATAAATAGAACTTCATCAAGGCTGATTTCAGAATTGGATACAATGATATAAAATTTCGCTTGGAAGAATATATGTCTGAAGCAACCAAGAAAAGTTTGATTATAGGAGAATCAGAAGCTGCGAAATACGCTTCACACATTATTCATCAGACTATAAAGTCACTACAGTCAAATCAGTATGGTATTAGCCATATGGATCCGTAAAAAACAGAGAATCTAGAAAATAAATGTATATGAAAATTTCATATATGGGAACGTTAGTATTTCTATTCTGTGGGAAAAGAGCGACTTATTTATTAAGTGGGGATGACAATTAGCTATTTATCCAGAGGGAAACTAAGTTGGGTCCACTCTCACTATATGTGCTGTTCAGTGCTGTAGCCACTAGCCACAAGTGTTATTTACATTTTAATGGAACTTAAATTTAAAAATTATGTTTCTCAGCTGCTTTAGTCATGTTTTAAAGTGTGGCTAGTGTTTACTTTATTGGGCAGTGTAGATTATAGAAGCTTTCCAGCTTTGCAAAATGTTTTGTTGGACAGCACTGATTTCTCTCTCTCTCCGTATAATATTTACATGTATATATTGTTTATAAATATTTACATAAACATAAAAATACAAATATATATGTATACATGTGCATTTAATTGTTCCCTATTGATTTAAAATTTAAAAATAAAACAGAAGAAAATCACCAAGGCTACCTATACAATATAGGGGTTAAGGGGAAACTTCGTAATGTTACCAGAAACCCAGAAAAAATAAGGAGATATAGTTGACATAAAAATTATAACTTTTGTATACACATTGATATCAGTATCAGTTAAGGTTCTTGGTTGAAAACAACATACATTTTAACTATGTTCAGAAAAGCAATTTGGAAGGGAAAATGACCAAACTATAGTGAGGGACTGCTTTTGAGAAGATAGCACTGCTGTCTCTGTAGGACATCAATACCACATTCACTGTCTTGCCTTGATCATTTCCACCTTAGAGTTATGTGCAGGTGAATCTAATAGGAAGGGGCTGGGGCATGTTCTAGTACCCTAGCTGAAAGGGAACCTGGGAAAGCAAGTTTCTAGGAGACAGAACTCATAAGTGGAAAATCATCCACATATAGAAAAAGTGTTCAGTAGATCCTGGAACAGCCACAAACGTGACAAATGTCCACTACACTAACATAAATAAAGTCAGCAGATAAACGATAGAAGTGGGGGAAGAACATAAAAGGTTGCAACCCAGATGATGATGAGCATTTAACGTCTATAATACAGAAAGAATCCTTACAAGTTGTGAAGAGAAAGACAAACCACTCAATAGAAAAATACTTCAAGGATATGGATAGGGAATTCACAAAAGAGTAAACTCAAATTTCCTGTCCTTAAAATAACAAGGAAGTATCACTTTACCATCGACGACTGACAAAATTGTAAAATTTCAATAAACCTACTGCTGGTGGGTATGAAGGGAATTACATATTCTTTGCTACTGGAATTATACATTATTCTCATCATTTTGGAAAACAATTTAGCAGTGCTTCTAAAATTTTAAATAACCATAGCCTTAGAAGCAACCCCATTCTTCAGAAGTAAAAGCACCACTGTATAAAAATATACATACGAGGATGTTTATTGTACTTTTTCGTAGAGGCAAAAGTCTGAAAGAGTGAATGGCCTTCAATTGAGAAAAAATTATGATACATTTACACTATGGGCTATTAAAAAGCAACTACAAACAGTGAGTAAGACCTGTGTCATTTGTCTTGGAGTGATTATGGCAGTGAGTTGTTGAGTGAGAAAAGCAAGATGCAGAGCAACAACTAGAACAACACACAACACACACTATAAAAAGTGGCAGAGTTTTTACAAGAATCATAATGGGGGAGGGTGAATTGATGAAGGTGAAGAAAGGGAACAGAGAAGAAGTAGGCAAACCAAGAAAACAAACCTTGTAAATTAAAAACATAACCAAAAGTCTCATTTATGTAAAACTACCTACCTGAGTTATGTATACCTGCTTCAAGAGAAACCATAAAATAGTGTAGTCTTGGTCTATAGACTTTAGAAACGTCTAAAATATATTCTTAGGTGAAAAATTATTTCACAGAGTAATATGTAGAGAATGAGTCCGTTAAAAAAAAGAAAGGTGTGTGTTTATATGTATTTGTACTGAAAAGATGATACATATCCATTTCTTAATTCTGGTTTCCTCAGAAAGTGTAGAATTGGCAAGCGAAGGATGGTTTTACTTATTATACTAGTCCTAATTAATTTCAAAATTTAAAACACAAAAATTAAAAATATGTTAACATTCTAGAATGTGTTGTAAAGGGAATAAACTCTATTATGATTCAGAGAGTAATTAGAGACCATCACCTGAGAGAGGGAGCCTTTGGGATAGCCTCTCTGAGGAAAGTGTCTGAGCTGAGACCTGAAGAATAACAATGAGCTTTATTGTGGAGAGCTGGACAAAGAATATTCTAAGCTGAATCCACAGGCCTGACAGTTCATTTGAAGGGCAGAAAGGAAGCCAGGGCACGAGCTGTGTCAGGGGCACGTGGATAGGTGGTGTGGATTAAGGTCAGGGAGGCAGAGACTTATAGACCACTGCTAATAAAAGTTTGAGTTGAACCGCTTCTAGTCAGCAAACAGGAAAAGTACTTAAATTTTAAACCCTTTATAGCAGCTTGACATTGCTGAGATTCCAGCCCTTGATCACCAGACTCACCTCAGTTCAGGTGAGTTTGAAGTTGGATGGTGCAGCTCATGTTGCGGATGGCTTCCAGTCATATGCAGTAGGACCGTATGTCAGTCCATGGTGCAATAGAGAAAAAACAAAAGCATAAACTAAAACAAACTTATCCTCTCCACAGGTTGATAGAGAAGCACTGTTACAAGACCTGGAGAGATGTTTGGTTGCTATTCTCAAAGAGGTAGTAAGCCACTGAAATGTTTTAAAAAGAAATGACTCTTTATATATATCGTACAGAAGAATTTTCTAGTTTAAAACTAGAATTGTCCCACCTTCCATCATGCAGAATGGTTTGGAAAGGATCAAGAGTTAAACAGGGAGTGGTTAGGAGACTATTGTGGTGGTGCAAGTAGGAGATGGTGGTGGCATGGACCAGGTGGTGGTAACTGGACTGGAGGATAGAAAAGGAAGAGTCATGAGGAGCCATGGATGATTTCTAGTTTCCTTCCCTTCCCTTTTCTCTTCTTTCCTTTCCTTCCCTTTCCTTTTCTCTCCCTTTTTTTTTTTTTTTTACATAATAACTGGTACACTATGATGATATCTATGGAGATGCGGCTAATGGGAGAAGAAAAAATTGAAGGCACAAATCAAGATTTCTGGCTTGGACAAATTTGAGTTTGAAATGTATATTACACACCAAAATGGAAATAAAGCTCATCAGAGAGGTGTGGACGAGAGGCATAATTTTGGGAGTTATTAGCACATAGGTAATGTGAACAATCATCCTAGTTTACCCAGGACTCTCCCTGTTTTAGTACTGAAAGTCCTAAGACCTGGGAATCCTCTTATTCCTTGGCAAACTGGGGTAGTTTTTCACCTTATGTATATGGTATTTACACCATGGAATTGGATAAGAGCAACCAAGGAAATCACACACCAGGATTGAGTCAGGAAAATATTAAGAGGAAAGAATCTTAGAAGAGCTCACCAGTGAGGAGGTAGGTAAAGGCAAGACAGAAAAGTGTCAAATATCTGGAAACCAAAGGAAGAGAGACTGTCAACCATAGAATGCTGGTGAAGGTCAAGTAAGAAGAGGACAGAACAGCAGATTTGGCAAGATGATGGTCATAAGTGACTGTAACAAAAGAATAGATTCTTGGGAGTGATGGGAAAAAACCTAAAATGTCATAAGTTGAATAATGAATGGCAGGAAATAGGATTAATAAGTACTAAAAATAATCATCCTAGCAGCCTTGCAATGAAGGGGAGCAGAGAAATGGGCAGTAGTTTGAAAAGACTGAAGAGAGTATAAAAATGCTGTTTATGATTTTATTTGGGGAAATGAAACTACTATGTGAGTGCAGTAGGATTGCCTGGCAGTGTTAAATAGCTGTATGAAAATTTTAGCATAAATTTCAAGTGGTTGTATTCTTCCTAGTTGTTTATCTACAATTACATTTAGCTTCTCAGATGCTGGCGTGAAAAAAATTTTTTAAATGGTTTCAGCCAATATTTGGGATTTTTCAGGGGAACGTGCTAGAGAAAAAAGGAGGCACTCAAGGTAAAATAATTAAAAGGGAATTATTTCAGTTAGGAAACATGGACTAAAAGCCAGGTTAAAGGGGGAAGAGGAAACATAATTAAGTTGGAAGAGAGTGAAACGTGAAGGCAATGGGTTAGATGTTTCACTGAAGTTGAGGACTTCTGGCAAAATGAGTACTTGGGAATGCAAGCCGAAAGAACAGCAGTTGGCGCCAGGGAAGGGAGTGACTGATTTTAAGTTTTCAGGGATGGTGAGTTACTGCTGATGCAACCAGCATCACTGGTTGGGAGCGGGTGGAGGAACAGGTAACTGAAGGTGAGGAAGGGAAGGATCTGACAGGCAGGGTAAATGGTTCATCCGTATGCATTCTGAAGTGACCAAGAATGATGGCATGAGTTGAGATGGAGAAGAGAATGAGTCAAGAGGGACAAACTGGGTCAAAATATGAGAATAAGGAGGAGATGTAGTGGGTGGTTTAGTCTGATGGTGCAAGCTTCAAATGGGAGGGAGTGATACATAGCCAACCCCTTACCTTCTGGTCCTGTGGTATATGGGGTATAATAGAAAAAAAAAAAACCAAAAACCTCTGCATCAGACAAGGAAAATGGTATCATCAGGACTTAAGGTAAGAAAAGAATTAAAGAATTAAAGATAATTAAAAAATTAATTAAAGATAATGCTCAGAGAAGAGATTGAATTGATAAGGAAATCTCAGGATAGTATATTGTTAGGATTGGCTACATAATTTTCAGGGCCCAGTGCAAAATGGACATGCCGGACATGATGTTCAAGAATCATTATGAATTTCGGGACTTCCCTGGTGGTGCAGTGGTTAAGAATCCGCCTGCCAATGCAGGGGGACGTGGGTTCGAGCCCCGGTCCAGGAAGATCCCACATGCCATGGAGCAACTAAGCCCATGCACCACAACTACTGAGCCTGCGCCCTAGAGCCCACGAGCCACAACTACTGAGCCCGCGTGCCTAGAGACCGTGCTCCACAACAAGAGAAGTCACCGCAATGAGAAGTCCGTGCACCACAACGAAGAGCCGCCCCCGCTCGCCGCAACTAGAGAAAGCCCGCGCATAGCAACGAAGAGCCAACGCAGCTAAAAATAAATAAATGAATAAATTTACAAAAAAAAAAGAAAAGAATCGTTATGTATTTCAAGATGGCAACAAAACATTATGTCAAATGTGGGCCCTTCTAAGTGTGGGGTCCTGCGTGACTGCACAGGTAACATGCCCATGAAGCTGGCCCTACCTATTCTGGGCCTAGGAAAAAGATTTGGAAGGGAGGGCAGCATTTGGTCAGACTATATTTCTTTGTTTGAGGCTGCTATGTGCTAACCATTGTTTAAATGCTTAACCAATATTATCATTTAACCCTTCTAACAGGTGAGGTAGGTGGTATCTCCCCCTTTGGCAGATGAGGAACCGAACGCACTGGAAATTAAATGATTTGCCCAAAGTCACAGTAAGTTGCAGCCTGATTTTATTTGATTTTATTTTATTTGATTGTTTTTTTACTGTTAAAATTGAGATATAATTCACATACCATAAAATGTATAAAGTTTACAATTCAGTGGTTGTTAGTATATTCACAAAGTCGTGCAACTATCAACACTATCTAGTACCAGAATATTTCCATCATACCAAAAGGAAACCCCATACTCATGAAGCAGTAACTCCCCATATCCCTCGGCAACCATTAATCTATTTTCGAACTCTATGGATTTGCGTATTCTGGACAATTAATATAAACAGGATCATACAATATGCAACCTTTGTGTCTGGCTTCTTTCACTTAGTATAATTTTTTTAATAAATTTATTTTATTTAGTTTTGGCTGCGCTGGGTCTTCGTTGCTGTCTGCGCGGGCTTTCTCTAGTTGCGGCGAGCAGGGGCTACCCTTCGTTGCGGTGCGCGGGCTTCTCACTGTAGTGGTTTCTCTTGTTGCGGAGCACGGGCTCTAGGCGCTCGGGCTTCAGCAGCTGTGGCTCGCGAACTCTAGAGTGCATGCAGCCTGATTTTAGATCTGCGTTCCTAACTACCAGGCTGTGTTGCTTCTCAGCAGTCCTAGAGTTAATAGATGACTTGGAAGACTCAGATTTAGGGCTGACCAAAGTAAACAGCCGTGTGAGATGTGACAGAATTAGTCCTCATTAATGTCCCCAGAAGAAGAAGAAAAATCAGCTGCAAGGTAGTTTTTTATTTTTTTATTTCAGTTTTATTGAGGTACAGTTGACATAAAATTGTAAAATGTATTTAAAGTGTACATCGTGACGATACGATATACATATACACTGTGAAAGGATTCCCTCCATTTACTTAACACATCCATCACCTCACATATTTACCTTTTGTTTGTTTGTTTTTCTTTTGGTGAAAACATTAAAGTTCCACTCCTTGAGCAAATTTCAATTAAACAATGTACTGTTATCAACTGTAGTCACCATATTTTACATTAGATCCTCATACTTCATATATCCAAAGAAAATAAAACAGGATATAAAAACAGGATATCAAAGAGATATCTGCATCCCCATGCTTATTGCAGCATTATTCACAGTAGCCAAGATATGGAAACAATCTAAATGTCAGTCAATGGACGAATGTATAAAGAAGATGTGGTATATATATATAAATATATAATGAAATATTATTCAGCCATGAGGAAGAAGGAAATCATGCTACTTGTGACAAAATGGATGGACCTTTTGGTATTATGCTAAGTGAAATAGCCACATAGAGAAAGACAAATACTGCAAGATATCACATATATGGGGATGTTTAAAAAAGAAAAAAAAACACATACAGAGAGGGTTGAAAAGGGGTAGCCAAGGGCTGAAGTGTAGGGGAAATGGGAAGAGGTTGGTAAAAGGGTATCAACTTTTGGCTATAAGGTAAATAAAGTCTGAGGATCTAATGTAAAACATGGTGACTGTAGTTAACACTGTAAGGTATAGTTTTGAATACTTAACATAAAAGCATCCTGAATCAACTCTCATGTGCTACTTTCTAAAGAGGAAAGATACTTCATTTTTTAGGAAGTTTCTGGGCATGGATTTTTGCCAAGTTGGTGTAGGTAGTAGATGAAGTAGAAGCCTCAGGTCATGAGATGACTTATTTCACATAGCTAATCCTAGAAAACCACAATTCTAACAAAGTGTTACAATCAGAAATCATTTGAGTAAATTATCTGATGAAAGTTTAAGAAAAGTAATTGGGTACATAATATCATTATGACGGTGATACCACAAAAGGAAAAAAGTCCTCATATATGGATGAATTCTTACACATTGAAAAACTACCTATGTCCCTTGGAAAAATTTGTGATCTAATTTCTTAGCACTCCGTTTTGCTTTGGCTATATACATAAGAACTCAGTGATCTCACCATGTACTACTTGGTCTGTATGACAAATTGGTTATCTTATTTATGACTGAATCTCAGTTTATTCTTTGTCTCCAGATACTTTCACACTGCTATGTGTATGAGGGATTGGGGGAAGAAAAGATGCAATTAATTTCAGTCGAACTGATTATTTACCAATGCTTGTAAAAAAAAAAGACACAGCTGGTTGCATGATTTATTGGCCTATGTAGTCTTTGTGCTTATTGAAATATGAATTGATTAATGTTCTCTGTCTAAACTTTGCTTTTGTTTTAATGGACTAGTAATAAATAGGAGTTTGGGTCAGTTTGATGTAATCCAAAGTAGAAAACAAAGAACAACTAATGAGTAGCTCTCCTAATTTTTTTAAGGCATTCCCTGGAGTATAGTATTTCCTTTCTAGCTATGCATTGTAGATGACTGTATCTGTTAGCACAGTTGTGTGTGTGACACTTGTAATGGCACAGCTAGATTAAAAATGGAGGAAATACATTCAGCCTCTTTCTGTTTTTTAGCGTTACTGAAAAAAGGCATCTTCAATTAATTATACTTCTTAGTTAACAGTTATTTTGTAGATAACACACTTTCAAAGAATTAAAATATAATAAAATATACAGTAGTGCTACTGTATAAACTGTATCTTTCTATTATTTTGATATCCACTTTCTGGCAGTAGGACTAGTGTCCTTATGAGAAGAGGAGGAGATTATCGGGATACACGTGCACAGAGGAAAGGCCATGTGAGAACACAGCAAGAAGGCAGCCATCTGTAAGCCAAGCAGAGAGGCCTCAGGAGAAATCAACTCTGCCACCCCCTTGATCTTGGACTTGCAGCCTGCAGAACTGTGAGAATATATTTATGCTATTTAAGTCACCTGTATGTGGCATTTTGTTATGGCAGCCCTAGCAAATTAATATAGTTGGAAACTGTTCTATATTTTTTAAGTTAGTGCTAAAAATAACTCACATCTGCTTTTAGAACTACTAGCATACATGATTGTAAGTGAATGTCAATTGGAGACTTTAAAAAAATTCAGTTTGGATGAAATTGGACACATTTTCATTTCTCTGAGTTTAACACGTTAGTTATATTAGAGCAGTAAAGATTTTCACCTTTACAAATAACTTAATTATAAAACATTTAGAAAACATAGGACAAAAGAAAAACATAATTTCTTATCCTACTGATATATTTTGATATATCAACAAAGCCAGTAATAAAAAGTGGAGAAATTAACTCTACACACGTTTATTTAAACTAGGGATTTAAAATTTAGTATATGAATATTGTCATTAAATGTACTTCATATGTACATACACACACACAAACCTTTTGAAAGCTATGTCATCAAATTCTACTGCATCAATTTAGCATAATTAATGTAACCAATCTGTTGTTGGATAATTAGAATTTCAAATATTCTCAATTATAAATATGGCAAATATGATAAATTCTCTATGACAGATACTTTCAAAAATTAACACGTATACATATTTTCAGCTATTGCTCTTCTTCTAAAGCATTCTCTTCTACCTTCCAAACAGGAAGGACACTTTGTTTTGGCAATTTCAGGCATGGGGTTTTGCTGTGTTGATCCAGGAAACGGATGAATTAGAGCAATGTGTAAGTCTCAGAGGCTATGTTAATCCATGTGAGGAAGACACATGCAAGAAAAGAAAAACGTTGAGTTGAAAAGATGGAGAAAAGAGGTGAGAGAGAATAAATGGCCAGTGCTCAATTGTAGAAAAAAGTTTTGGAGAGTAATAGAGAATCAGAGACATTGGGAGCGGCTGCCAAACTGTAATGAGGATTTTAGGGAAGGTAAACTGGGGAAGATTTTTGGAACTTCTGTGTAGTATGAGCAAAATACCCATTCAAAAGTCCTTTTGAGGAAGATGAAAATTTTCATTTTTTAAGTATTTTTGAATATTGGATGATGTTTTCTTTAAAATTTAAAAAACACTGATTAAAAACTACCACTTCATTTGTAATACATAAACAGGGATTACATATGTGTGTGTGTGTGTGTGTGTGTGTTTGCAGCTTAATTCTTGAATACACCCATAATTTATAAATAACATGCTTGATAAAAACGGTGTGCAAAATTTAAAGGTTTTAATCTATATTTTCAAACTGCTATACAAGAAATTCTTTTTATCCACTGACAGTATTTAAAAGTGCTTGTTTTCTTACCATTTCTTCAACTTTGCCAACTGATAGGTAAACAATGATGTCAGATTATTTCATTTTTTTTATCATCTTTATTGGGGTATAATTGCTTTACAATGGTGTGTTAGTTTCTGCTTTATAACAAAGTGAATCAGTTATACATATACATATGTTCCCATATCTCTTCCCTCTTGCATCTCCCTCCCTATCCCACCCCTCCAGGCGGTCACAAAGCACCGAGCTGATCTCCCTGTGCTATGCGGCTGCTTCCCACTAGCTATCTACCTTACGTTTGGTAGTGTATATATGTCCATGCCTCTCTCTCACTTTGTCATAGCTTACCCTTCCCCCTCCCCATATCCTCAAGTCCATTCTCCAGTAGGTCTGTGTCTTTATTCCTGTCTTACCCCTAGGTTCTTCATGACATTTTTTTTTTCTTAAATTATGTGTGTGGATATTTTCTCGTATTACTTCTCTCTCTCTCTCATATTATTACCTTTCTCTCTCTCTCCTTCTCTCTCTCTCATATAAATGGCTGGCCTATACATTTTCTAATTAAAAATTGAATAATATCTCATGAAATGTATAGTTTCCAATATTTATAAGATTTATAGCACAGTATTTTCACTTTAAATGAAATGCAAAGCTTATATGTTACATAAAGAAATCTAGTTTCAGGTAATGGTGAGATGTAATGTTTTCTAAAACTACAAAATTTTGTAGTTAGAGCTCTTAGGAAATACTGTTCTTAGTTATCATTCTCAGAATATGGATTATTTCTCTCAAAGGGTTGACTTTCAGATTCAATCTTATTAAGTGTAATCTTGAGCTATCTGTAATGAGGTGGATGGACCTAGAGTCTGTCATACAGAGTGAAGTAAGTCAGAAAGAGAAAGATAAATACCGTGTGCTAACACATATATATGGAATTTAAGAAAAAAAATGTCATGAAGAACCTAGGGGTAAGACAGAAATAAAGACACAGACCTACTAGAGAATGGACTTGAGGATATGCGGAAGGGGAAGGGTAAGCTGTGACAAAGCGAGAAAGTGGCATGGACATATCTACCAAACGTAAAATAGATAGCTAGTGGGAAGCAGCCGCATAGCACAGGGAGATCAGCTTGGTGCTTTGTGACCACCTAGAGGGATGGGATAGGGAGGGTGGGAGGGAGGGAGATGCAAGAGGGAGGAGATATGAGAACATATGTATATGTATAACTGATTCACTTTGTTATAAAGCAGAAACTAACCATTGTAAAGCAATTATACTCCAATAAAGATTAAAAGAAAATCTTTCTTTTAAGAATCTGTCAGAAAACATCTATCTAGCTTTCAGAGAAAATTGGTGAGTAAAACACTCATTTATATTTTTACGTTTTATCTCCTTTGCAGTTTCAGATATTTTATCCCCTACCTCCTATTTTAAGCCTTAGGCTTCCACCTCTGCTCTTGATCCCATTCCCTTTTCTGTTTCTTATTTCAAGTAGTAACATCTATCACTCAATCACTCAAGGCAAAACTTGCATATCACATTTGACACCAGCTTTTCCTCTACATTTTCCAAGTGAAATCGTATCAATTTTATTTCCTGAATATATTCAATATGTTTATTTTTCTTGTTCACGGCAAATGGTGCTTAGCATAGGCCCTTATTAGCTCATCATGGTATTCTTTTTCATAAAATTTTTTAATGCATCTTCCTCATCTAATAAATTCCAAACTCTGTAATCTGGTGTATAAAGCCCCCTCTCTTCCAGTCTCTTCTCTCTCTCCAACTCTTGCATTTTGTATTGAGTTATTTGCTGTTCCCTAAAATTCAACATATTGTATGTCTCTGTTCTTTTCAAAAACTGTTTGTTTCCTTGGAAGTAAGAGTCTGTGTCATTCCTTTTTCTTTGATTTCCTAAATTTTGCTTTTCTTTTAAGAGTTAGTTTACCTGCCTCTTGAGAGACTATCTGGTATGGCCCAGGTGCTCATCTTCAAATGTATTTTTTGTTGTTGTTGTTGTTAGGCGGGCCTCTCACTGTTGTGGCCTCTCCCGTTGCAGAGCACAGGTTCCGGACGCTCAGGCCCAGCGGCCATGGCTCACGGGCCCAGCCGCTCCGCGGCATGTGGGATCTTCCCGGACCGGGGCACAAACCCGTGTCCCCTGCATCAGCAGGCGGACTCTCAACCACTGTGCCACCAGGGAAGCCCCCTTATACGTATTTTTATGATACGTTTCCTTCTTCTTTTAATCTATCTGTATCATGATTAAGCTCTTTGCTCCTCTTCTACTTCTCTGATGATTAGAAGTAACTTTATGTATGGGACTGTCTTATTTTCCTTTGTGCTCACAATATATCACCTAATAGCATATATACATATATGCTATTAGCATGGATACACACACACACACACACACACACACACACACACTCTCAATACGTAATTTTTGGACTAAACTGAATGCCACATCTTCATTTCTCCTCTATTATGAGAAATATAAGAAGTGAGCTGCTCTATTTTTTTTAAAAAACTTTGAACAAGTTCAGAAAATTTTTACTATTGTACCTTCTTATTACATTAGAGGAGGAGAAATCACTAATCCTTGGCCCCAGGTTTATATATTTAGTGTAAAGGGATATATCTTATAGGTCTTCTTGGTCAGGAAGAAGCTCACATTCAAATCCAGAAAGTTCTTTTTATTTTTTTAACTTTAGAGAAAACCTCTATTTTATGAACCATGACCTGCCTTCAAATAACAGCACAGAATTAACCAATAGAGAGGAGACACAAGAAGAAAAAGCTAAAATATGTAGAAATAGGGATCCAAAAGGGAGACAGACCAAAGGTAGGCTTGGAATTCACTGGTCTTGATCAAATCTTTAATAAGCTTACAGGCTTCATGTAGCAGAGTTGCACTCACCTACGGATTCCACACAGCCCTTCCAGTGCTTTATCTTATGGATGGAGGGGACCCTCTGTAAAATATCATGAAGTGCGGCAACATAATTTAGATTATGAGAATCTAAACTAATTAAGTTTGCCTTGACCATTCTATACCAAGAGCTCTCCTATACATAATTTTTCACATCTTACAGATATATAGACATACACACACAATTGTTTAATTATTTGTCATAATCTTGTTTTCCCTGACTTAAATTCTTTAAAGCTAGAATGTATAAATTATATTTTTTAACTCCATGCACATAATACATTGGTTGTGCTCCAGATATCTACCTGATAATTTTTAGTTTCAAAATTTTAAAAATCTTTTTTTTCCTCAATGAACATTACTAAGAAGTCAATAACTCATCAGTGCATAGGTAATATACACGAGTTCTCTCCTACCTCACCAAGTTCGGGAAACACCTAAAACTAACTAATGGCACTTTTTCCTCTCATAAATTTGTATAATTTATGGCAGCAGAGGACTGGAGAATTAATGGAAGGGTTAAAAAAAAAAAAAAAAAAAAAAAAGAATCTTCCCTCTCTTACATTTGAGAGATTATATGCCTCTGAACCCTAGATTCCTTGCATGCCAGGACTGTGACTTATTAATATTTTATCCTCAGTACCTGGCACATAGTGAGTGCTTAAGACATGTCTGAATGAGTTAATGGAGGAGAGAAGTCTAGGTCCCTGACTGTTAAGCAACAGCTCAACAATTTAGTGAATGAACAGAATATGTGTGGGGTAGGAATTCAATCAATCAACACAGGCATGTACAAACCAACTTGCAGATTAGTTAGAACCAGAATGAACTCTCCCTTTGTGGGTTTAAATTTAGTTAGATCTGTGATCTGGAGTCTCAGATCACATCTGTTACTTGATTTTGGATCTTGACAAAAAGTGACAAAGGAGTGGCATTCAATGATACAATCGAGAAATGGATCTCACATTCTATTTTGGGGGCGTAGGTCATTTATCTCCTTGTCTTCTTCCTGTTTTTAAACATTTGCAGGTAGCGAGGTGAAGCAGAATCGGCAGTCTCTCAGTGTCATAACCGGACATGGGGTTGACCATTGTAACACCAACCATAATCACCTACAGGGCGCTTTCAGGGCCCTCTGTGCGATGAACTGGACCTGGCAGCACTGGCTGTTGCACATGATTGGGGTAAGACACACTTGCACATACGCAACCACTGTGCTAGGCCTCCAGGCTGGAAGAAACTGAAACAAGGGTTTGGTGTCTTAAGCTGAGGCACATCGTGAATAAATACCCAATACTGACCGTTAGTATTATGCCAAAGTCAGGAATCAGTCTGAATAACTGAACATGACATTCATTCTCTAACTGCTGAGGCTGAGTGAAGGAAGGTGGAAAAGTATATTTTTTGCTTAACTGGGCCTATCACTCTGAAATTTAGCCCCAGTCATCTGTCGCACTGAGAGGGGAATGCTGGAATGTTACAAAGCGTATTCCCCCCAAATAGAGGAAATGTAGTTCAGAAGCCAGAGAATTCGACTAGTCCCCTCATTTGTTTTTCAAGTTTTGCTCAGATTGGCTCGCAAATTTATCTACTATGCGTTGCACATGGATATTTTTGTCACTGAATGTTTTACAACAGCTGTGATCCTGATGGGGATTTAGTTAACCAAAGGCCCCTCTGCATGCAAGCGGTCACCAGGCATCTAATGGGCTGAGGGCTGAAATGACAATAAAGTGAGCAGAACCATGCAGCTGTGGACCAAATGTAGGGTAATAACTAGCAGTTGGCCATTACGGGGTTAACTGCTGGTGTTCTGGTAAGCGTAAAAAAATGTGGAGGTCCTGCTCAAAAACACAGCCCAAATTCGAATAGTTCCATTGGGTTAGAGTTAAAAATGCTTCTGCTTCCTTTTCAGCTGGTGATTATTTTTAGGACACCAATCTTGTTGGAGTGTCTAACACATAATATTATAATTATAATTTTTTGATAATTATGTCGTAGTTTTCCAACATGCTTTTAATCTAAATAAGGGATCTTTGCAGAATATCAGCTTCTTAGTCTCTGGGGTTTCAGCCACTAGTGCCTGTGCCTTTATAATTTCCAGACTTGTTGCATTTACTCTGGGAAGAATTTTTACCTACATTTGTTGAGTTAAAGAGCCATCCATTCTGTTGTTTTAAACAAATGAAATTGTATCACTGCAATGTCAGTCCAAACATGTGTAATTAACATGGAAAATATGTCTGAGCCATATTGGTCAAGATAGATGACTTCCTTGCATGACTTATAAACAGAGGCATAAAGCCAGGATGTCAAAACCAAGTTGTATACTGCGAAGGTTTATCTGGGAGGACTTTCAAATTACAAAGGAAAAAAGAAAGACAAAATCAGCCTGCCATGCTTTCTTAACAAGGGGAGCAGCTTTCTGCTATCTGTATAAAAATAAGCCTTCTGTCCTCCTTTCGACATGTGTTACTCGCACTGCAGAGGTCAAAACGGACATCTCATTCTTCTGGAAATGTTCATCAAACAATATAATGGTACATGTCAGGGCTTTCAGATCATTCTGGCTGGAAACGGGCCTCTAAGCTCCTTTTAAATTTTATCAGTGACTGTGCACAGAATTCTCTTTGGAATTCTTTGATCAGTGGCCTAGGCTCTGAAAGAAAGAGAACTCTATCCCCTACGTGCTTTTCTGACTCCTCTGAAAGCTACCAGCTTTGACCTTTTTCTAGGGTTGTTTTCCTAGGTAATGATCCAGTAATACTATTACTTACAGGTAGTAGAGTTGTAGTCACCTTACCTGCAGATGCTCTTCCGTTCCTTTGCTGGATGAAATGAGCTCATTCGGAGTGCACCTGAAGAATCTTTTTTTGTCCTCAAGTATAACCCAATCCTGTTTTTATGTTATCAGTGGCATCAATTAGAAACTAAGTGTGCCAAGAACCTCTGAGAAAATCCCACTTGTGACTGAATCACATCCAAGGAAGTAGAGTTACCAAGGCATAAGTTAACTTAGGATAAGAAAAATCCAGTTTGACTATAGTCCTATACAGCAACACCTCCCTTTCTAGAAGGTGTAATGAATTGTCAGTGTACAGGTTTGTAGACTTACTTATATGGGAAATTCTTCCTCTGAGAAAGGTCCCTTGGTTTCATTCTGGTGGTGCTCTTTCAACAAGGTTCTTGACCACTTGGTTCGTGAAAGCTTGCTGTTCATGAACTAAACTCATGTATGTTCTAATAGTAAAGGCCTTAGGATGTATAATTCCTTCTTTAATTATCAAGCAGCTTGAGCTCTGAATGGTGTTTTCATGTATGAGAAGGTGGGAGAGTGAAAGCAAAAGAGAGAGAGAAAGTGAGGGAGAAAAAGAGGGAGAGAGAGGTCTAGGAATATTTTGCTCTACTGTTTCAAAAGGGAAAATTGTCTAAATTGTTCTATCTTGAGGTTATCTGAAGAAGGGTGCTCATAAAATAAGACTGCTTCCTACTGCAGATGTCAGTTTTACTGTGGATTGCAGGAAAGTTTTACATGGATTTTTGATATCTGTCAAGGAAAGGGAAGTTAATGTTCTGCCGGGCAGGGAAGGTAAACATAAAACACATGGGCTCCTCGGAAACTGAACAAAACGTGGAAGCCCTCACTCATCCTTGGGAATGTGGTAAAGCTATGAAAGCAGAACCATCATCACTCCATCTTTCTTGGCATTTAGTCCCACGTCAGCATTCTAGAAAACCTTCTCTACCCTTCCTTCCATTCCACACCTCTGATAACATCTGATGAGACTGGCAGGATAAAGTTGAATAACTCATGGAAAAGGGATGCATTCCTTTCCATCTTCACCCTGCTGGGTACCTCAGTATATCGAGGATGGATGCCTTTATTCTAGGCCCCATCCCTCAATTACACGAGCTTTGCAGTACTCTTATCTGGATGGATTGAAGACCTAATAGGAGAGTGGGAAAAGTATTAGGCATCCTCAGAAAAGGAGAGCAAAGAACTTATCAAAACAGAACGTAGGGTGCTACCTTGAAGCCCAAAACTCAATTTTATTTTTTTATTTTTTAGTACACAGACTGATGCCATGAAAACAACTGCCAACAAATCAGTAAGTATAGTCCAAGGGATTTATAAGTTGAAGATGTACGGTAGTAAATTACTGTAAGATATATTCTCAGCCAAAGCTAACCTGGGGGGTGTGTTATATAAGTGTGTTGTATACGCATGGGCATATGGTCACATACACACGTATCAAGGAATGGATCGGTCATCCTGAATATATTCAATCTCTTGTGAAATACTGGGCACTGGAAGTTGGAAGCTGCAGCAAACACAGCATATGCTATAAGCATTTCACCTATTAAAGTATCTGACACTTGGCAGGTGCATTCAAGAATGACAGCTCTTGGCAAGTTCATCTTAGCCTTGCACACGAATAATAAAGAGAAAGGAATATTTTCAGTCTGGCAGAAATAAGCAACAGGTGCTAAAGGCCTTGTGCTGTAGTTTAACAGGAGGGAGTATATTGAACAGTGTGAAATAAGCAGACATAATTATAGCATACTTGTAATGAAAATGATGGCTCCTAATTAATTCTGGTCTAGACTTGTTCAAAGACCCTGGGGCCAGCACACCTTAGGGGAAGGATTATACCCTTTAATAATAACAGAATGCATAAAATATTTAATAGTGTACCCTTCATAGAGTAAAAAAGTCCCTTAGGGATTCTAAAATCTAAGGGCTATTTTTTCTGACGTGGAGCTTTAGTGGTAATCCCATATGTTCAGGGCTGTGGAACCTCCAGTATGTCCTTATCTAGAATCTATTTGTCTGCTCTTTAGCGTAAGGAGCTTAATCCAGTATTTTATTCTCATCTGTCATTCATTCTGGTTCTTGAAACAGATTATTTATTGCATCAAGGCTGCTATTCACCACACATGTAAGATCTCTAATGTCACAAGCAGTTATTCTTGAGTGACTCCTGTTCTAGATGCTGTCAATGAAGATGGTATAGCCCAACGTTCATACACCATTGTATCCCTACTGTATCTTTTGTGTCTAGTGCTTTGTTTGCAAGATTACTAAGAATGCAATAGGGCAATCTTGACAATTGTAGTAAAACTGACAAAAATATTTAGGCTCTGGAGTAAGATTTGCCCAATTCAGAACTGTTTCTAAATCCTGCATATGTGGTTTTGACTTGATTAGTTCAATTCCCCAAGGCCGTTTCTTTTTCCATAAAGTGAAGATAATAAAAGTCTTTACTTCACAGGCTCTTTTGAGCACTGAGTTAAGTAATTCATATATTTACCTTAGTAGGATATCACATTGTGTTTATTTGAATATGTTACTTTCATTTATGTTTTCTAGAGTAAATTCCATTGAAAATAACAGAGTGGGAACAGGGGTTGCTCTGAAAGAGCATATGATATTCACACTTCTCTAGATGCAATTTCTAGGATAAACCTTCTTCCTTTATCGTGATCTGGGGCTTTGCTACGTAAAGTGTGGTCCGTAGACCAGCAGCATTGGCATGGCCTGGGAGCTCATGAAAAATGAAGAATCCTGGGCCCCACCCCAAACTAACTGTTTCATAATCTGTATTTTAATGAGATCCCAAGCGATTTGTGTGCACTTTAAAATTTGAAAAGCTCTGGTCTATACAGCTAAGGTCCTTACGTGTCCTTTTAGATTTTCCTGATCTTACGCCTAATTTAATCATGTTTATTATTATACGTGTATATTTTTGTTAACCCAAATGTTTACTTTTAAAATTTCTGAATTGCTAGACAAGTCTTTCAGAATAAGTGACACTTTATTGATGCACGGTATTTTAATTTTTCTGGTACACACTCAGACCCCCAAAGCCATACTGATGCTACGTCCCCTCCCTTCTCTCACCCCGAAACACCTTAAAGACTCTCATCATTTGATTACTAGATTTTGATTTGCCTGTTTCTAGAGAAACTACTAAGACATATTGGGCATTCCCTCTTCTGATTTTGAAATTGAAATAACATCTATGTGGGGCTTAGTGAGAGAAATTTAAGAAAGGCACGGATCATTGGATCATTGCTTAATTCCATAAATTACTTTTCTTGTCTGTATTAAATTGTTGATAGATTTAATTCTGCCTTGAAGAAAATGTTTAGTTTAAAAAAAAATGTTTCGAGACAAATTTTGATCATGCTTAATAGAAGACAAATGCATTCAGATAAATTAAAATTAATTCAAATTAGTCATTTAAAAGTTCAGGTAAAGATTTTTTTTTAAATGATTGGTACAAGGTTCTGCTAAATTTACATATTTTTTTCTCTTTTAAATAACACTTTCAAGTTACATATAGTCCTTTAACTTTTTTATGTGTAACACTATTATTGTTTCCAATTAATGGGGATATTTTCCATACTGATTTTTTTTTTTCACTTACTATTCGACCACCATCTCATAACAAGGACAGCTTGAGAGTGCGTGTTAACAAAGTCAAACACTACAAATGAACTTCACAGTTCTCTGCACTGCTCATTCTCACCTCATGAATCCGAAAGTGTCTATGAATTTGAAAGATTGCTGCTGGTGGATGATCTCACCTTCCACACTTCCATATTCTCTGGTTACGGTTTTTCTCCTGTAAATGGCTCCCTATACTTGGAGCTGCAGTGCCAAACTTTCTAGACAGGCATAAATTACTGCTGTGTCTCCCTTCCTCTTTTTCTTCATTTATATTTCATACTGTATGACAAACTGAAACATTGAGTAACGGATGGTGCTAAGGGACGGGGACTATTTACTGTGTTTTTTTTGTGCTCTGGGCGTTTTATATGTCTGAAATACCGAACTGTATGATACTAGAGATCAAACAAGAGGACTTGAAAATTTTCATTTGTTGCAGGGAAGCTCTGGTTTTATAAAGGCAGCTGCAAATTAGACTTTAATTGCTAACTGAAAGGAACGGTTGCAATATGTTGTCAGGCAAAATGTGAAAAATACAGAAAGGTCAAAGTAGTAAAGTATATATCCACTTACATAGAGCACTGAATCATTCACTGAGCTGACATTCCTGCTGTAAACTCACTCACTTTCATAAAAGATTTTTTTTCCGTTTTAGGAACAAGAAAGATGTCTGTGTCATGCCAGCCCTAATACCTAACCCATCTTAATGGGAAGGGCAGCAGAGCAAATACCTTTCTTTCTCTTACTTGGTTCATTTTTAATTTATAGGCTTTGAAACTATTTATCAACTAACTTCCTTCCTCCCTTCCTTCCATTCTCTTTTTTCCCAAATAATCTTAAACTTTCTCCTGAGGGGAATACCAGTTTTCTCCTCACTGTTCATGTAGTACGTGCTCCCTACAAATTCTTTATCTTTACCCTAAAGATAGAGGCTGTCTTATTTTCTGAAACAGACTGGATGCCAATTTTTAAAAATTTAAAACAACTAATAGTGGTAAACTCTGTAATTTCTCTCAAAAAATTTTCCCCCAAATTAGGGCTTGACATTATACTGGAACTGAAATGCTCAAGTTAAAAGAAGGAAGGAAATGAATATTTATTGAGGGTCTACCATGTGCCAGAAGTTTTCCCTACATGATTTCTTTTAATCCTCATCACAGCACTGTGTGAGAGCTGTTATTCTAATTTGCAGTTTAACAACTGCAATTCAGACAGTCAGTAGCTTGCCCAACATCATATAGCTACTAAATCTGTATGACTCCAAAGTCTTTCCCACTTGATTATATATACCAGTGTCCTCTCCCTCAATTTTGCAAATGAGGCCCATAAGGAGCAAAGAGACTGGGGGCTTAAATTGGCGTCTGAGTTTGAACTAGATAATAGGTTCTCTGTTCATCCCACTGTGCCATTGGCAATACAAAGATGGGGAAAAAACTTGTGCAACTGGCCCTAAAATTAAAATTCACATTAAAATATCTGTAAGAAAATTTACCATGTTCATTTTCTTGAGGGATGGAATCTATTAATATATTTCCTGTCTATTACTGACAATAAAATCTCATGTGATTCCTCCTCATGTTTCTTTCTATCTCTTTCTCTCTTCAGTGCCATGAGTTGATCAGACCCCAGAGATAACGACTGTTATTTTTAAGGAATTCTGTATATGGTTGCAGGCAACACAACTTTCTCGTCTCCATGGAACTGGAGCATAGGTCAGACTATGCTGGGCCAAACTCCAGCTCTATAGAACGAATTTTCTATTTTCCAACCATTAAGGCAGACTGTCCTCATAAATTTATGTAACTGCTCAAAGAGTGAGCCTTATCTTTTTCCTATTTCTCTAACTTCTTCCTCCCAACTTCAGAATTGAAACACAGTAGGGACTCGTAGTACAATAAATATTTTTGCATATTTGTTACTCTTTTTTTCCTCCCACCAGAGTTTACACAGAACAAGAACTCCACAGATGATAAACAGACACAGATGTTTTCCATGACTGTTACCATATTTACAAATGAAAATATAAGATTTGGTAGGTAACAGTTAGTTAGACTGGGGGAAAGGATTGAAAACGTTTCAGGGTTGTGTTAAGACCTCTTATACCCATTGCTTTTGGAGAGGTAATAAAAAACAGAAACAAAGACCACATAGCAAAATCTGAACATCACCTGCCTTAGAGGTGTGCAGAAAGTAGGCTATACATCGTCTACACCCAGGCCAGCTTGAACTACTCCCTGTTCCTTAAATATACCTTGTTCTTTCTCTTCTCTGAGCTTCTTTCTAAGATGTTCCCCCTGATATAACTGTCCCCTCTTCCTCCCCTTCTACCCGTCAAATTTCCACACATCTCTCAACATTGGGTTTAAATGCCACCTGCTTCATGCCGGCCTCCCATGAACTGAGGGTCAGGAAGTCCCTTCTGTGTGTGACTGTAGCAGTTGGAATACAGATCTTTTGTAGCACTTACCACTCACTGTACTAAATTTGGAATATTTTTATATCGTTATATCTTCCTTATAAGGTAAAGAATTGTTTCTGTATATCAAAAAGTATAATCCTCACTCTTTTCTATTTTTGTTCACTTGGCTTCTGGGACGTCATGCTTTCTCAGTTCTCCTCCTCCCTCACTGGCCATTTCTTCTTGGCCTCTCACTCTTTCCCTCCCTCCTCCTCTCCCTCTTTTGATTTTAGTTCCTCAGTCTGGACTCTTCACGATGTAGTAAAGCTTGGTTTTTTAACTTGATCAATATCCACTCACTCCCAAGATGACCTTATAGAATTTTACAGCTTTAAATACCATCTAAATGCTGATGACTCCCAAGTATATTATCAAGCCCGGATCTCTCCCTCAACTCCAGATTTATCTCCACCTGTGTGCCGAATCATCTTCACCTGCCTCCTCACTTGGCATCTCACATGAAATGTGTCCAAAACAGAAATCGTAATTCCCCCCAACCCCCGCCCCACCAAAACTTGCTTTACCTTCCCCTCCTTAGTAAATGGCAACCAGCATTTTAGAACCATCGATTCATCTCTTTCTCTTAATTCATGCATACAATCTTTCAACAAATCCTGCTGGTTCTATTTTCAAAATATATTCAGAATCTGACTACTTCTCATCATTTCATGTCTATGACCCTGATCCAAGCCATAATTATCTCTCATCCGGGATACTCAGTGGCTTGCTAACTGGTTTCTCTTGTCTCTACACTCACATCCTACCGTGTGTGTGTGTGTGTGTGTGTGTGTGTGTGTGTCTGTGTCTGTGTGTGTGTGTGTGTGTGTCTGTGTGTGTCTGTGTGTGTGTCTGTGTCTATTCAAGAGCGCAACCATCCTGATTTAGGTATTATTTAAACTTAGATAATGTCCTCTCTTATTCAACCCCTCCAAAGGCTCCCATCTCACTCATGGTGAAAACCAAAGTCTTTGCAATGGCTTACAAGGCCCTATATAATTTGGCTCCCTGTTACCTCTATGAACTCATCCTGCACTTCTTCCCGCCCCAGGTGTTCAGTTACAGCATCACTGGCCTCTTCTCTTCAAGTGTTCAGTGTCCCTCCACCTCAAGGCCTTTGTGGCTCCCTCTGTTGGGAAAGATCTTCCCCAATAACCTATATTTTATTGCACCCTCATTTTTTTATCCATCTTTCTTCATATTTTCCCATTATAAGCTTATTTCCCCCAGTACTAAGTTCTCTGGTCATCCTGTTTAAACGTCAACCCACCCCCTTCGTTCTCTGCTTGTTATTGGTGTTTGTTTCTGGTTTTCTGTTTTTGTTTTCATAGCCCACCTTTCAGACGGTGCATGAGAGCCTGGCCCAAAGTAGGTGCTCAATGAACGTTTTCAGATTTGTTGAATTTCATAGTACCTTCCATGCACATAGTAGGTGCTCGCTGTTTTTGAATCGACAGTGTGAAGCTCCAAATTATATTTTACACCAGAAAGGGGAATACAGATTTTTATCCATTTCATGAATTTTTCAGTTAACAAGAATTGAAAGTGGTTGTATATCAGAAACAGGTGTGTTTCATCTGTGTATAGTAAAACACTGAGTTTCAAAGAGTGGAAAATTTTGGTTGTTCATAGCAGAAGGAACTATGGAACCAACAACAGGTTCATCAAGCCAATGGCTATGTTAAAAGAATATAGACAGTGCCACATAACTAGGAAAATGCTCATTCAAATGCTCGAAGGGCGCCTTTGATCATGTTTAAGTAAAGAAATTATGAAATGCTTTTCACTTAAAGTCTTCCCGACACAACCACAATTTGGCAATTGTTCTCAAGCATAGAAGCCAGAAAAAGATAAAACATGGTGGCCTTCTACTCTAAACCCCATAAATAATTTTATACCCCCAAATAAAACAGTTAACAATAAGACTTTCTGAGTGAAAGGAAGAGATTTTGTAAGAGCCATTCACATCATAACAGATGTGCTGTCTTGCTTCAGCCTTATTTTATATCTTTCCTTTACCCTTTTCTCTCATTGAGAACCCTATGGCATAAAGTTTCATTTCAAAGATTTAAAATAGGACATGGAATCCTAGGCAGACTTAAGAGCAGTTGTACAGAGCAATCTATCGTGGATTTTGTGACTCTTACACAACATGCATAGTTTCCCTGGGACCAGGATATTTTTGCCCTAAAACTGGCCCAGTTCCCCTGCACAAGATCATCCTCCTTGCTCAGAAATAATGGTAGAATTGAAATAGATACCACTCAAATTGAAAGAGTTAGTCCGTTCTAATCCAATAGAAAACTACTGGCAATTCTCGGAGGTC